TTTCCGTATGTGGTGATTCTGATCTTGCTGATCAGAGGTGCGACACTGGAGGGAGCTAGAGATGGGATAGAGTTCTACATTGGTTCCCAATCCAATTTGACTAAACTGACAGAAGCACAGGTATGAACCCAACTATCTTTATTTATCTGCAACACAGTACAGTAATCTAATCCCTTTTGATTTAAAGCATGACTGTGTGTTTTTTAGGTGTGGAAAGATGCAGCGACTCAAACTTTCTACTCTCTCTCGATTGGCTGGGGTGGAGTCATGACTCTTGCTTCCTACAACAACTTCCACAACAATGTATTCAAGGACTCATTTGTCGTAACACTTACTAATGCTGGTAGGAGCACAGCTACTGTAACAGCACCATTTAAATAAACCTTTAAATAATGTATGTATTTATTTCAATCTATTTAGCTATTTTAATCTTTTCCTAGGCACCAGTGTATTGGCAGGTTTTGCCATATTTTCCATCTTGGGTCACATGGCTCACATCTACAAAATGCCTGTGGGAGAAGTGGTGAAGGAAGGTCAGACAAACACACCATTTGGGCACCAAGTTATAAACATTTTGAACATCTCTGATGTTTTGTTTCTTTGTCTTTGTGCAGGATTTGGCCTGGCATTCATAGCATATCCAGATGCTCTCTCAAAGCTTCCGATTTCCCCTCTTTGGTCCATTTTGTTCTTCTTCATGCTTCTCACTGTTGGTCTGGACTCTCAGTTTGCAGGAATAGGTGAGATCTTCAGTTGCAATTCATATCTCATAACAGTTAGAATACGTTCATGCAGCCTGAAATGTCTCTTCTTGTCATTAGAGGTGGTCACAACCTGCCTGCTTGATGCCTTCCCTAAAGTCTTCAAACCCAAACGTACTTTACTGACTTTAACGACATGTTCAGTCCTCTACTTCCTGGGCCTGCCATGTGTCACAAGGGTAAGTCTGCCTTTGTTTAACTTTATGTTGTCTGACATTGGCCTAGCCAACCTACTCTCTCTCTCTCTCTCTCTCTCTCTCTCTCTCTCTCTCTCTCTCTCTCTGTGTGTGTGTGTGTGTGTGTGTGTGTGTGTGTGTGTGTGTGTGTGTGTGTGTCTGGGATAGGCAGGAATATACTGGGTGACTCTAATCGACCAGTTTGTTGCCAGTTGGGTGCTGCTATTTTTGGCTCTCTTCGAGATCATTGGTGTCTGCTACATATATGGTAAATATGAGCATTTGAGATATGTGCATATAAAGGTGACAGTGAGCCTTAAACTCTAGCTGTGTATGTGTGTGTATTCTTCTTATGTTTCCAGGAGGGAACCGTTTTATTAAAGACATTGAGATGATGCTTGGAAATAAGAGTTTCACTTTCTGGCTGTGGTGGAGAGCATGTTGGTTTTTCCTCAGCCCGTGTATCATAGTGGTGAGTACAACTTCTGACAGTGCCCATAAAATATTCACATGTCTGCTTTTACTTGACACTTTACATGTATGAGTGCCATGACAGGTGTTTAATCAAGAATTATTGTAATGACACTATCTACACTAAAAAGTGGCTGGTTATCTGAACTTGTATTTCCAGATCTGAAATTGAATTACAGTGAATTCAATTTAGATTTCATGTTTGTATGTAAGGTCTCTATGTAACTGCTATACATGTCCAAATTGCTTCTAAATATTCAGATTAAACCCTCTCAAACATATACATCATGTTAGTTTGGATCATGTTTAATGAATGAAAGGGGTTGACTTTGTTGTCCAGGTGATCTTGGTGTGGTCTCTGATGACCTTTACACCACCTTCCTATGAAGCAGTCCAGTTCCCAGACTGGGGCTTGGCTCTGGGCTGGTGCATGGCTGTATTTGTCCTCCTATGGATCCCTGTTGTCGCTGTGTATAAGCTGATGAGAGCAGAGGGAAGCGTCTGGAAGGTGTGTTTTTGTGTGTTATGATAGCTGACGAATTATGGTGGTTTGACCCACCACTCTTGTCTTTTCCGACATTTTTTCAAAGCATTGCATACTTTACAACTGGTATTTCTATATGAATTCAAGGAAGTGAAAAGAAAGGATGCTAATCTCTAACTTTCCACAGCGTGTGAAGTCATTATGTGCTCCAGCTAAAGAATGGCATCCCTACCTGGACATCCATCGAGGAGAGCGCTACTCAGAAGAACGCTGCCGCAACAGGATGACATCCTGGACCAAACCAGATGTAAACGTTAATGTAATCTCCAGCTCATGGCTCTGATGTGTGATTTTGTTTACGTTGTCTTCCCTTTTGTGAAGCAGTGTAACACCTTGTTGCATGATTTTTGACCAGCAGGAGACAATGACTGACTCAAATACAAACTCACAGCAGATTATCAATATTAAATGTAAATATTTGCAGAATATTTCAGCAGAAATGGGCATCCCGTTGTTCCTGTTTAAGTGTCCAACCGGCCAGCACCAAGTGCACCATTCAGCTGTGCTTTGGTTACTACCTTCAGGGAAGACTATCTAGGTCTCTTTGACTCTCTTCACCAGCCACACTTTGGACTGCTGTCCACCGCGTCCTGCTGGGGTAGGCGGCATATAACAAGATTGTGCGAGGTCATGTGTTTACAGTAAATGGAACAGAGCCATTTAGGACTCGCCAACAACAGACCAATGACTGAAAACAATGAGTTAAAAGTGGTTGAAAGCTACTTAGAATAATAATAGTAAGGCTTTCATGATAATGGAAATTGTTTGATTGAATGTATATATACATCTTTTTGGTTGATTGGGGCTTTAGAATCTGGCGGTGTTTCTTATTTTGTCAATGATCCATGGACTTTTTTAACATTTAATGATCTATCAGTAGTGCCTATTTCTGTGTCAGTAATCATGCTAGTCTTTCCTACTTGTTGTACTTTCTCTGTTGCTCACCTCTGATATTCTACAATAAATAACTTCTTTCTGCATCTCTGATATGTGATGAAATTCTTTAGATTAATACAGCATGGATGGATGAGACAAACAAAAATGTCAAGCTGCTTTAAATGCCATATTTCTATACAGTAGATCAGATATTGCTAAATGTGTAAAAGCTGATCTCACATGGGCTTCAGTGGCAGGGTCTTGTGTTACACAGTTCATCTCCCAACTCAACCATTATAGAGTTCTTTAAGCTCGTCTCATTATCTTATTAGATAAATATTGCAAGTGTAGCGTCATGTCAGTCTGTTAGCAGTTCATCCTGCCAACAGGTTGCTTTGTCTATTTTTTGACAGCACCAATAGAGCTTAAAACAATGGCCACCCCTGCAATAACTGTTGGCTTGTTTTATATTATAATATAAATATAATGTGTTTTTACAAAGCAGGAGGAATAATTTGCAAAAACAGCTTACTTCATGAGAAGATTAGATCTAAAATGGACCCCTTTAGGACACCACATTAGGACACTTTTGACTATTATTAGTAATGACCAACTTTCTTTTTATGTTGTATGTGATTCACTGTCAGGTCTCTGCTCTCATAATATCAAGTAAACTAAAACCAAAAACAAACATCTTGAGGAGCAGTCTCAGTTCCAGGAGAAGCTGTAAAACTAGATCAACGTTGGTTTTAGGATGTTTTGGATTTGTAAGCCAGTATTTACTGACTTCATATTTACAGAAGAACTTATCTGTATGTGTGTACAGCAAACTAGTGTCAAACTAGTTGTGCTTCATGTGTGACTGCTTATTCAACTGTGACCATAATAAAAGCTGAGGTGTTGTAACAAGCTGTTGATGAATGGCTTTTGTGCAGGAGTTTCACATGTATGTCTATGTACGTGTCATTGGTGATGTCATTTGTGGTCACATGATTACTCTGTTATTAGATCTGCTTTCAGTAACTATGCAGCTGTCTGACGTCACTGCACAAACTGAGATATGTTCAGCTGATCTCAGTCTTTTAACCAGACAGGCTTTAGAGCGTCTCATTCGTTACTGCAGTGGTAGTTAGAAAGAAGATACAATCCGAAATACAATCACACACCACCCTGTATCACCCTGTAGGCGTGTGCACTTCTTACCAAACCAAATCTACGCCCCAAGTCAATAGTTATCTTTAGGACCTTAGTTTCCAGTTTTTTATCTAAAAAACCCCAAAACTTCATTATAAATATACACCCTAACAGGTACACAAGTGTGTCTGGTGTGCTGTAAGTAGATTAGTGCAGATTTGACAGTATACTGTATATCTGTCATTAGTTGCCATGTGATCACATCAGCAGAAAGTACTGTATGTGAAGTATGTGAAAAAATAGTGAAACTGTTAGCAAGTAACTGCAGCTATGGATACTTGCAGTTTAATAGACTATGTGCTGCCCTACTAATGATTTATATTACTGACCACTGACTACAATTGAGGTGTTTTGTTAAATATTACAGTCTTTCGGCTTCCAGAGGTAATATAATGCATTCTAGCTTTTGGTTTACACAAACTATACCTATTGTTGTTTCTAGTGAAATATTAATGTTCAACGCAGCATAATATTCATAGGTTACCTTACTGAGCCATTTTATCTACAGAGGGAGTGAATCCTCTCCCCCGGTGTTCACTATGTTGAACCGCCATGTTTCTACAGTAGCCTAGAGAGGACAAACCAAACACTGGCTCTAAATAAGGCCTTTTATGTTTTTTTTTTTGCTAGTTTTGTGGCCACCGTAGTTTCTCCTACACACTTGGAAGACTGAGCTGTATTCAGTTGGTTGCAATTTGCAACTTTACCACTGCATACTACTGAATTCTACATACTGGTCTTGTTTATTAAAAAAACAAAAATCATTTAAACAATATAAACATTTGCTGTTAAAACAAAGTTAAAATAACAGGTGAGGTAATAACATTTTGACTGACACATTTAAAACACTGCCTTGACAAACACGATGAAAGCGAACCTGTCTGAAAGCAATCGCTGGAAGGAATCCAGTTTGTTTAGTGTAGTCCCGCGATACAAGACAGGCTTGTGAGTCTATGTTAAGTGTGAGTTCAGACATCTTTTTGTTCTTCTACAGACCATCAAAAGCAGGTGAAACGAAATGTGGAACAGTGGCTCAACCATTTCCAAGGATCCTGCTATTCTTGCTGATCAGGTAGGATTGCAAACATCTGTAACTGAACGACTAACTGTAGCCTATATAAAAAACTATGTATGATGAAATGAATAGTATATATATGTATGTATGTTTGTATTTATATTCCAAGGTAATGTTTTTCCTTTAATTTGTCACCTGTCTGTATTTCACAATGTTAAAAATAGGCACTTTTGGCAATATACTAGACTAATATTAATATCTGTTTGTACAACAGATGGTTACATTTGCAGCATAGCTAATACATACAACAACATAATACTACAGAATATTATTAGCCATTTAACCCCTTCTTTGTTATTCATTAGTGTGAAGGATAAGTGTTTGTAGACTGGGGACTTAATTTAACTTCTCAAACATTTGCCTAATCCACTAAACTCCCCCAACCTTATTTACCATGATGACTGACATGGTGGTGGTATCCTGCAAGTACACAGAGCTGTGAGTGACATTTTACTGCATAACCTCAGTAGAGCTACTTCAAAAGATTCCCAGTGAGAAAGTAGCCACTGACTGTGTTTTATACACCAATGTGTGCTTGTGTCTGTGAGGTTGTATTTTATGTTATTTTATATTGTTATAGGTCTTATATGGCCTTTTTCAAAGCAGACATTTTGACTTGTCACAGTGGGTCAAACACAGGTAAGCCTATAATTACAAAAACTACATAAATAACGACTGCATTTATATTGGAGGAACTGAGTGATCATTAATTTTATTAGTAGCACCTTTGCTTTGTACGGGAGTTACAAGCCATGTGAACAGTGGTTACCACTGTGTACCACTGAGGTCTGAGAATCAGCTGGTGTTCACTCAAACCAAACACTACTTCAGCTGCTGTTGATGGTTGACAACTTAAAACTATACAGTATTAGTACAATTGATTTAAGTTTATTTATTTACCATCGAGAATATCTAACCATTTAGAAAACCTTTTTAAACTCTGCTTTGAGCAGGACTCTCGTGTTCTTGATGGTGATAAGAAGTGTGAGCGTGAACAGTGGACCAACAAGGCAGAGTACATGCTCTCTATGATTGGCTGCATTGGCCTGGGAAATTTCTGGAGATTTCCATATCTAGCCTACAAGAATGGAGGGGGTAATTATTTACCCCATGTGATCACATCAGCAGAAAGTACTGTATGTGAAGTATGTGAAAAAATAGTGAAACTGTTAGCAAGTAACTGCAGCTATGGATACTTGCAGTTTAATAGACTATGTGCTGCCCTACTAATGATTTATATTACTGACCACTGACTACAATTGAGGTGTTTTGTTAAATATTACAGTCTTTCGGCTTCCAGAGGTAATATAATGCATTCTAGCTTTTGGTTTACACAAACTATACCTATTGTTGTTTCTAGTGAAATATTAATGTTCAACGCAGCATAATATTCATAGGTTACCTTACTGAGCCATTTTATCTACAGAGGGAGTGAATCCTCTCCCCCGGTGTTCACTATGTTGAACCGCCATGTTTCTACAGTAGCCTAGAGAGGACAAACCAAACACTGGCTCTAAATAAGGCCTTTTATGTTTTTTTTTTGCTAGTTTTGTGGCCACCGTAGTTTCTCCTACACACTTGGAAGACTGAGCTGTATTCAGTTGGTTGCAATTTGCAACTTTACCACTGCATACTACTGAATTCTACATACTGGTCTTGTTTATTAAAAAACAAAAATCATTTAAACAATATAAACATTTGCTGTTAAAACAAAGTTAAAATAACAGGTGAGGTAATAACATTTTGACTGACACATTTAAAACACTGCCTTGACAAACACGATGAAAGCGAACCTGTCTGAAAGCAATCGCTGGAAGGAATCCAGTTTGTTTAGTGTAGTCCCGCGATACAAGACAGGCTTGTGAGTCTATGTTAAGTGTGAGTTCAGACATTTTTTTGTTCTTCTACAGACCATCAAAAGCAGGTGAAACGAAATGTGGAACAGTGGCTCAACCATTTCCAAGGATCCTGCTATTCTTGCTGATCAGGTAGGATTGCAAACATCTGTAACTGAACGACTAACTGTAGCCTATATAAAAAACTATGTATGATGAAATGAATAGTATATATATGTATGTATGTTTGTATTTATATTCCAAGGTAATGTTTTTCCTTTAATTTGTCACCTGTCTGTATTTCACAATGTTAAAAATAGGCACTTTTGGCAATATACTAGACTAATATTAATATCTGTTTGTACAACAGATGGTTACATTTGCAGCATAGCTAATACATACAACAACATAATACTACAGAATATTATTAGCCATTTAACCCCTTCTTTGTTATTCATTAGTGTGAAGGATAAGTGTTTGTAGACTGGGGACTTAATTTAACTTCTCAAACATTTGCCTAATCCACTAAACTCCCCCAACCTTATTTACCATGATGACTGACATGGTGGTGGTATCCTGCAAGTACACAGAGCTGTGAGTGACATTTTACTGCATAACCTCAGTAGAGCTACTTCAAAAGATTCCCAGTGAGAAAGTAGCCACTGACTGTGTTTTATACACCAATGTGTGCTTGTGTCTGTGAGGTTGTATTTTATGTTATTTTATATTGTTATAGGTCTTATATGGCCTTTTTCAAAGCAGACATTTTGACTTGTCACAGTGGGTCAAACACAGGTAAGCCTATAATTACAAAAACTACATAAATAACGACTGCATTTATATTGGAGGAACTGAGTGATCATTAATTTTATTAGTAGCACCTTTGCTTTGTACGGGAGTTACAAGCCATGTGAACAGTGGTTACCACTGTGTACCACTGAGGTCTGAGAATCAGCTGGTGTTCACTCAAACCAAACACTACTTCAGCTGCTGTTGATGGTTGACAACTTAAAACTATACAGTATTAGTACAATTGATTTAAGTTTATTTATTTACCATAGAGAATATCTAACCATTTAGAAAACCTTTTTAAACTCTGCTTTGAGCAGGACTCTCGTGTTCTTGATGGTGATAAGAAGTGTGAGCGTGAACAGTGGACCAACAAGGCAGAGTACATGCTCTCTATGATTGGCTGCATTGGCCTGGGAAATTTCTGGAGATTTCCATATCTAGCCTACAAGAATGGAGGGGGTAATTATTTGGCATCAGCATTTTAGAAAATCACATAAAGTAACACTGTTGTTTTTGTCTCATATCTTGAAATCTTAATTTTATCATTGGGAACAGGTGCCTTTCTCATTCCCTATTTCTTGATGTTGGTTTTCTGTGGAATTCCCATGTACTTCTTGGAAAATGCCATCGGTCAGTTTTGCAGCCAAGGCCCAATCAACGTGTGGAGAGCAGTGCCACTACTGCAGGGTAAGTCTGAAAGAGACCCCATGCTTGAGACCAAGATATCAAATGTGACTGACATTTACTGTTCGTAAACTCGTGTTCAACTAATAGAACAAAATTAAAATACTAGTGCAACATTGAACCTTAACATTATGTAATTGTTGTAAAAAGGGCTGCTTTAATTGTTGATTATTTTTCTAATGAATCAATTAATAATTATAAAACAACAGAAAGTGGTGGAAAATGTTAATAGAAAGTTATTGCAGCAGACACTCACATTTGAGAAAATGGATTTGGAAAGTTTGGTTATTTGGATTTTTAAATTACTAAAAAAAATAAATGTTTTTCCGTTTATCAATCAATAATCAATAAATCATTTGATTATATATATATATATATATATATATATATATATATAGTTGTGTCTCGTGAAGTTTTTCATGTTTAGTCCTTTAGTATTTTGTAGTCACCTTTTCCCTCACTATTCAAATCCTGACTTCCTCCCTTTGTGTGATTTTCCCGCCTTTGTAATTGTCTGCCCCGCCCCTGATTGCTTTCACCTGTTCTCACTTACACGTGGTATAAATAGTCCTTGTCTCCCTTTGTCTTTGTCAGTTCGTCTTGTTCAGTAAGTTAGTGAGTATCGTCAAGTGTTGTAGTTCAGAGTCCAGGTTATTTCATGTGTCAATTGAAGTTCCTCTGATATCTAATATCCTCTGAGAGAGACTTTTGTTTGCATTTTTATATCCTCCTTGAGAGCGACTTTTAGTTTTTTCCTGCAACTTCGTCTGTGCCAGAGTCGTGCATTTGGGTCCACCAATATTGTGTCAGAGGTTGTGACAGAATGAACTGACCAAGTATGGACTCAGCCGACTCAGATCAACTCCAAACCGCCCTCTCAGCACAGAGCACCAAGATCCACCAGCACAAGGCACAGCTGAGCACAATCAGCGGTGGCGTGAAGGACCTCACCGAGTGTCAGGAGGGTTTTCAAGCTTCCGTCACCTGCCAAATGAACCACCTCGCAGTGCAACTACACCAAGTCTTCACTCTCCTGGGGACAGCACCTTCAGCGACACCACCTGCAGAGAATCCTGTGGTTGCACTTACCATTAACCAGACGGCTCCCATGTCTCTGCGTTTGTTTTCAGGGGACACAGGTGACTTTCTCAGTTCAGTGCGATCTGCACTTCAAGCTCAACCCAGCAGCCTTTGTGTCAGACCAGGCTAAAGTGGCATTTATGGTGTCTCATTCAACTGGCAGAGCCACTGCTTGGGCCACTGCTGAATGGTCCAGGTTCTCCAATATCTGCCAGTCACTTTCTGTTTTTCGAGATACCATGTGCAAAATATTTGATCACTCCTCACCTGCCAGAGGAGCCTCTCGGGCCGTCATGCAGATCAAGCAGCACCATCGCCAATTCATTATTTATACCATAGAGTTTCGCACAGTAGCCGCAAATAGCGGGTGGAACACACCAGCTTTAATAGACGCTTTTATTTGGAATGGACTCTCAGAACCCATCAAAGATCATTTAGGTCCTTTGGAGCTCCCCCAGGATCTCGAAGCCATCCAATCGATGTCAATTCGTGTGGACAACGGAGAGATAGGAGAAGAGAGCGGCAACGGACAGCAATTTCTATGGTTATTCAACCTTCAACGACCTATTTGTTCTCCACAGTGACAGGATCCGGGAAGATGGAGCCATCACAAGGGTCAGAGGAGCCGATGCAGCTGGGGAGAACCAATATCTCTCCAGAGGAGAGACAACATCGTCTGCAGGAGGGCTGCTGCTTCTATTGTGGACAGCTGGGCCACCAACTCGCTGCCTGTCCGGGAAAAGATTAAGCTCACCAGCCAAGGGGAGGGCACTGGTGAGCAGGTTTGTCTCTGCTTTTCCTCCTCGATCACTGACCCATGTAAAACTCTCCATTAATGATCAGACTCTGAAGGGTGTTATATACTCACCATTCCCAACCTATACCAATGTGACGTCAAATGACGTAGATCTTGCTGGCGCGCCAGGATTTAGGCCAGTTCGCGCCAGGTCGTGCACCACTCTATTTTTGCGCCAAAGCAGCAACAGGAAGATGGACGAGTTCGAGGGCAAGCTTTCCCTGCAAGTACGCCTCTACAGGCATCTATACAATCCTTCAATGAAGGAACACAGAGATCCCCAGAGGTGCTAGAATTCATGGCGAGAAATCGCCATGAATGTTGGAAAAGAGGAGGCCATATGCCAGAAAATTTGGAAGAACCACCACAACCTCTTCTTTTTGTTGTGCATAGAAGTAGCAAAGTCGGTAGCCTTCCCTCAGTTGCGACACCTCTGTTCAGGAGAAGACTGCAACTAGTGTTGCGACCACCACGCGCAATTATAAATAGTTACGGCGCTCCCGTGACGTCACATTGTTGCGCTACAGGTCGGGAATGGTGACTATGTAACAGCCTTAACTCAGGGGGCTCTAATTCACCCCGGGGCAGATGAGAGTTTCATGAACTGGAACCTAGCCGAATAGAACCAGATTAAGACTGTTCCATCACAGGCTGTCACATCCTGTTTGCCTCCAGCAAAATTAAGGGGTGTGAACACTCATATAAAGTGAACTGTGTGACTAACAACTTTTCAGAGGTTCTGAGGACAGAACTCAGCGTTGGCAATGACTCTGACTACCCCAACTTATCAAAAGTACCCATATGTTATCATGACTTAAAAGAAGCTTTCAACAAGAAAAAAGCCATGTCACTTCCTCCCCATCAATCTTTCGACTGTGCCGTTGACCTACTACCCGACGCACCTATCCCCAAGGGGCGCCTCTACTCTCTCTCTGCGCCAGAGAGAGCGGCCATGGACGAATACATCACCTCCTCACTGAAGGCTGGAATAATCCGTCTCTCCTCTCCAGCTGGTGCGGGTTTCTTTTTTGTGGGGAAGAAGGATGGTTCACTGCGGCCATGCATTGACTACAGTCCCTTAAATGACATAACAGTTAAAAACCGGTACCCTCTCCCATTAATCTCATCTGCTTTTGAACTGCTCCAAAAAGCCAGTTTTCACTAAACTAGATCTTAGAAAAGCTTACCATCTCATCAGAATAAGGGAAGGAGATGAATGGAAGACAGGATTCAACACCCCAACTGGACATTATGAATATTTGGTCATGCCTTTTGGACTATGCAATGCCCCTGCGGTGTTTCAGACATTCGTTAATGATGTGTTGCGAGAGTTTTTGAATGTCTATGTTTGTGTACCTGGACGATATCTTGATTTTCTCCCCAGATATTGAGAGTCATGCCATCCATGTTCGACAAGTCCTTCGGAAGCTGTTGGAAAATCAACTATACATCAAGGCTGAGAAATGTGAGTTCCACGCAACCACTCAGTTTCCTGGGCTACATCGTTTCAGCAAACCAGGTGCAGATAGACCCGGCTAAGGTCAGTGCTGTGGCCAATTGGCCAACTCTGGACAGCCGAAAAAAGGTACAGCAGTTCCTGGGGTTTGCCAACTTTTACAGAGTTTATTCGTAACTTCAGTTCTGTAGCAGCACCCTTGCAGAACTGTTCATCTGTTCCAAAGTACCTTTTCAATGGACCCCCCAGGCTGAAAAGACTTTCAAAGACCTCAAGGAAAGGTTTACCACAGCGTCGGTACTCACAGTTCCTGACCCCCAACAGCAGTTTGTGGTCGTGGTTGATGCATCCAACGAGAGCATTGGGGCGGTGTTGTCGCAGAGGTCCACCAAGGACAACAGGATGCACCCCTGCGCCTGTTTGTCACGTAAGTTGACCCCTGCAGAAAGAAACGATGATGTAGGGAACAAAGAACTGTTAGCTGTCAATGTAGCACTTGAGGAATGGAGGCACTGGTTGGAGGAATCAGTCCTACCTTTTTTAGCGTGGACAGACCATAAGAACCTTGAATATATCAGGAAAGCAAAGAGAATGAATTCACGTCAGGCTAGATGGACCCTGTTCTTTTACAGGTTTCACTAACAAAGACCACACCAACAGCTGTATGGATTAAGAAAAGTTTATTGCACGTTTATGAATGAATGTGGAATGCTGTGGGAGGAAAATGGTTAACGAGTGGAGGGGATGAAGGGATGAAGGGGTAAGGGTCGAGGGATGAGGAGAAGGGGTCGAGGGATGAGGGATGAGGGTGTATGGGAAGGATGGGTGAGGATTGATAGAAAGGGAGGAAAGACTGGTTAGGTAGATCGATGGGAGGAGTTCGGCGAACTGGTCGGATGGAACAAAGAGGGTGCTGAGACGCTGAGTGGGGGAGCCGTCTCTTTGACTCTTCAAGAGCCCCCAAAGGAACTTCAGTAGGACAGGTGCGCATGAGCGTTTTTGATGTCGTTTAAGTCGTTGCGGATGTAAGTAAGATAGTTTAAGGATGGAATGGGCAAACGAGATGAAGCTAGAGAGTGTCATAACGTCGAGAGAAGGGAACGACCATGCCATCGAATGTATGAAATAAGTAATAAATAATAAAAGTTTATTGCACATAATGAACAAATGTGAACCAATGTGGTATACTGAGGGATGAGGGGTGAAGGTAGGTTCGAGGGATGAAGGGTGAAGGTAGGTTCGAGGGATGAAGGTAGGGTCGAGGGATGAAGGTAGGTTCGAGGGATGAGGGATGGATGAGGTTGGAGGAATGAAGGTCGGAGGAATGAAGGTAGGAGGAATGAAGGTCGGTTGGCGGATCGATGAATGTATGGAGGGGTTCGGTGCGATGTAAGAGGGAACTGAGTGGGTTGCGAGACACTGAGTGGGGGAACTGTCTCTTCGTATCTCTTGTAGAGAGCCCCCAAAAAGACTTCGAATCGATTCGTAAGCGTCTTTGATATAGTTTTTTAGGTTATAACAGATGTACATGAGATATGCTCGAGAAGACCATCTGCCAAGGGGTTTATTGCCGATATCTGGGATTCCCTGCCTGGGAGCAGTGGATGTGGCCCGGATGCAAGGGAACGCCCCGAGTATGGCTCTGGGGAAATTCTGGTTTGGACAGGATTTGCAGATGTGTCGAAACTGATTGCGTGGGTATGATGATTTTATCAATGGAAGCGAACGGGATGAAGCTATCGAGTGAAAGAAAATGGCGACCAAATTATCCATCTGAGTGGAGTCAGTAGAGGCCGGAGACTGAAGACAGTGGAACTGGAGTTGGAATGGCGTCGGAGGCCAGTGCCGATTGTCTGAATTAACGTAACGAGAAGCGGGAGCGTGACGGCGATTGCGTTCTGAGACCTGGGATGCGAGAATCTCGGGTGATGTTGATGCTGTGCTGAAGCTAGGGTAAGCTTCCGTATGAACTGCGTTATGTTAAGGCAGTGGGACTGGTCCCTTGTTTATGATGTCGAATGATGGTGGTCATGATTTTATTGGACCATTAGTGACCCCAAAGAACGACTGCTAAGATTACTGGGTACGTTTCGCGGATAGCAGAGGAAGAAGGCAGGGATGAGAAGTCAAGCAGCCACTAGGCTGAAAACCACCTGCCACAATTAGCAACTTTGGTGGGAGGTGCTGCATATGTGAATAGCTGGACGTGTTCCAGCTTAGTGATGTGGTAGTTGTAAAAGAATAAAATGCCATTACGTGGTGGGAGGAACTGGTGCCATGATTTGCGTCGTCTGGTGTGTCATGTTCATGAAGCAACATGGGTTGGATTGATTCTGAATGTAGGGAACGGTGGACTGGGGAATGGACCCATTGTGAATGCGTCTTTATTTTCTCTGTCCGGGAATTGATCAACTATGTCGGGCTCTGAGGTGGCTGACAGAGTTGTGGCATGTATGAGGAATCTGGCGTGACCTGTAAACCTAGGTAAAGACTGTGTGTAAATCGTTGTAGGTGGTTAACAACCTGTCGATCTGGGTGGTTCTTCGAGGCGGTGGCACGAGCGTTGATTTTTATTGGTGTATTCGGATACTTATGCGGGCTGTGTTTAGTTGGATTATGGGGACATGCAGGTCTTGCATGTGCTCTGCTGCAGAAGGAGCAGGTGAGGAGCAAATGGCAACTTGAGATTGCTTCTGAAGTTGTTGGAATTGTTATGAACCGGCCTCTTGGCATGTAGAGGACTGGTCTGTTTCTCTTGTCGACGCCCTTGGAACAAGAGCTGTGGTTGAACGTTTGCGGATTTGGGGGTGATGGATGGGGGGGGATGTTTAGGGCATATGTCGGAAAAAGCAGGGCTACGTTGGTTTTGAGGTAAGGTTCGGGTCAAAGCAGCTGTGAGGGTGTGTGTTGTGGTTGGATGGGACGGGGTACCGCGCCTCGTTGGTTGTGATTCAGGGAAGAGCGAGCTGCGAGAACGCGGCAGTAGAGTTTTGGATATTGTGAGCACCCGTAAGTTCCCTGATTGACTTGTTGCAGGCAACCGGCGCCTTGGGATTCGAACGGAATATGGTATGTGTAGATTCCCTTGCTGCTGAGCCCCGGGGCTGGGTCGAGTATCAGAGGCGTGTAACCGTCCGGCTCTAATCTGCGATCGGGCAACGATGAACGAATAATGTCGCGGAAAGAGGGGAACAGGAAGGTAAATTGTACTGCGATGCGTTGTCTAGAGTGGGTAGATAGTGGCTGTTTGCATTCAATTGGACTGAATGCAGTTTAACTGTTCTCTGTGGATATGAGGGTTGCTTGTGGACGGATGTATTGAATGGCGAGGTCAACGCAAAAAATGTTTAACGGTTTAGCGGTTCTGGTGGCCAGACATGGAGAAGGAAGTATCGGAGTATGTGGCTGCCTGTCCAGTGTGTGCCCGAAATAGACCTTGCCTCGGGCCCAAATGGGCTTGCTTCACCCGCTGCATGTTCCTACAAGGCCATCCCACATCTCCATGGACTTTGTGAGCGGACTACCTCCATCCAAAGGTAACACCACCATCCTGACAGTGGTCAACCGTTTTGAAATGAAGGGATGAAAATGAAAATGGCACATTTCATCCCACATCTTAAGTTACCCTCTGCTAAGAAGACAGCAGAGGTCATGATGATGCAGGTCTCCAGGATCCATGGTTTTCCCAGTGACATTGTTTCAGGTAGAGGACCACAGTTTGTCTCCAGCTTTTGGAAGGAGTTTTGCCAGCTCCTCTGCACCACCGTCAGCCTGTCCTCCGGTTACAACCCACAGTCCAATGGACAGACGGAGCGCCTCAACCAGGAGCTCGAGACGTGCCTTCGATGCCTTGTCTCAGCCACCAAGCCACCTGGAGTGACCACCTCACATGGGTGGAATATGCCGACAACACCCTTCCCTCAGGTGCCACCGTTCCAGTGTGCCAACGGCTACCAGCCTCCATTGTTCCCTAAAAATGAGAAGGAGGTTCCCTCAGCTCATGCCATGGTCGGACACTGTCGCCACATTTGGGCTAGTGCTTGGCGGGCACTTCTGCACAGCTGCGTAGAAATAGCAACGTCGGTAGCCTTTCCTCACTAGCAACACCTCTGTTCAGGAGAAGACTGCAACTTGTGCCGCGACCACCATGCGCAAGTATAGATAGTCACGGTGACGCGCGACAGTTGGTCTGCGTCGAGTATACCGGACGCTTAACACCGACAACCGGCTCCTCTCTATAGGCCAGGCCAAAGGGTCTGGCTGGCAACCAAAGACTTGCCCCTTCTTGTTCACTCCAAGAAGTTGGCTCCCTGGTTTGTGCGTTCATTCCCCATATCAAAGGTCATTAACCCTGTTTCTGTGCATCTTCGTTTTCCCAGGTCATTAAAGGTCCACTCCACGTTCCATGTCAGCAAAGTCAAGCCGATCAAGGAAAGCACTCTGTCCATCTCATCCCAAACCATCTCGATTGGGTTTAAGTCAGGTGACTGTGCCAGATCATCTGGCGCAGCACTCCATCACTCTCCGTCTTGGTCAATTAGCCCTTAAACAGCCTGGAGGTGTGTTTGGGGTCATTGTCCTATTGAAAAATAAATGATGGTCCAACTAAACGCAAACCAGATGGGATGGCATGATGCTGCAGGATGCTGTAGTAGCCATGCTGGTTCAGTGTGCCTTCAATTTTGAATAAATCCCCAACAGTGTCACCAGCACAGCACCCCCACACCATCACACCCCTTCCTCCATGCTTCACGGTGGGAACCATGCATGTAGAGACCATCTGTTCACCTTTTCTGCATCGCACAAAGACATGGCGGGTGGAACCAAAGATCTAAAATTTGGACTCATCAGACCATAGCACAGATTTCCACTGGTCTAATGTCCATTCCTTGTGTTTCTTGGCCCAAACAAATCTCTTCTGCTTGTTGCTTTTCCTTAATTGTGTTTTTTTAGCAGCTATTTGACCATAAAGGCCTGATTCACGCAGTCTCCTCTGAACAGTTGATGTAGAGATGTGTCTGCTACTAGAACTCTGTGTGGCATTCATCTGGGCTCTAATCTGAGGTGCTGTTAATTGGGATTTCTGAGGCTGGTGACTCGGATGAACTTATCCTCAGCAGCAGAGGTGACTCTCGGCCTTCCTTTCCTGGCGCGGTCCTCATGTGAGCCAGTTTTGTCGTAGCGCTTGATGGTTTTTGCAACTGCACTTGGTGACACGTTAAAAGTTTTGGCAATTTTCCGGACTGACTGACCTTCAGTTCTTAAACTAATGATGGACTGTCATTTCTCTTTACTTAGCAGATTGGTTCTTGCCATAATATGAATTCTAACAGTTGTCAAATAGGGCTGTCAGCTGTGTACCAACCTGACTTCTGCACAATACAACTGATGGTCCCAACCCCATTAAGAAGGCAAGAAATTTCGCCAATGATCCCTGACAAGGCAAACCTGTGAAGTGAAAACCATTTCAGGTGACTACATCATGAAGCTCATTGAGAGAAGGCCAAGGGTTTGCAGCGCTGTCGTCAAAGCAAAGGGGGGCTACTTTGAGGAATTAGTTAGTTAGTAATTTCACACTTTTTTGTTTACTACATAATTCTGTATGTGTTCATTCATAGTTTTGATGCCTTCAGTGAGAATCTACGATGTAAATAGTCATGAAAAAAAAGAAAAACCATTAAATGAGAAGGTGTGTCCAAACTTTTGACTGGTTGTGTATATATGTATATATATAAATATATTTATTTTTTTCAGCTCTAAATGACAGTATATTATCAGTTCAGTAAAATATCTAATACATTTGACTGTCCAATCAAGATCTCAACTAATAATGAGAATTGTTGAAATAAATGATAATTAGCATAATTGCATTTTTAATATTTAATCTAAATCAATTATATTTGTCACTTAACTAAAATTTGAAGGACAAATCTAATATTTGAACAACGGAGACTGCTTGAGGGTCTTCCCCTGCCTAGCAGAAAAGACAAAAGAGAGAAAAATGCAGTTTCTGTGTTTATTTAAGGGTTCAGGGGGATCAGATACTAGTTGTTTTAGTAAAACATTAGACATTGCCATGTAATATCTAATATTATATATAATATATAATCTATTATCTTTTTCAGGTGTTGGATTTTCCATGCTTATGCTGAACGCGGTGGTGTCAGTTTACTACAACGTCATTGTTGCCTACAGTCTGTACTACATGTTCGCCTCCTTCCAGTCGCCTCTACCGTGGTCCAGCTGCCTCAGTTGGGCAGACGGTAACTGCAGCAGCGTGCCTAAAGGTGCTTTTCCACTCATCACCTTCACTTGTGACTTCTGTTACTTCTGTCATTCTTGACCTTATTTCAGTTTTAATTGATTTGAAATAAAATAGCATAATTGTACAAATTCATTTAAAAAGGGCACTTTTATCAGCATCCAGCACTACAGAATTACTTTTATTGGCCAGGTGTGTGTACATGCGGAAGGAATTTGACAATTGCTCTCGATGTACATACACAGAATAGGCATACATACATACATACAGCAAAAGGACAACAACAATCTTGACAAAATTTGTAGACAGTAAGACAATAGTCCAATGTTGCACGGTGCAAAGGATGCTGGAATATACCTCTATTTTTGTGTAGGAGGTTATTTTATATACATATATAGGTTGATATTAAAGTATACACAGAATGCATAGATTCCTTTTGCTTAATGACATTTCATCCATCCAGCACCATGTAATGTAAAGACTACTTCTTTGGAGTTAATATTTGCATACCCCCATCACATAGACTGATTTATATTACAAATACATCCGAAGATGCTTCTCATCTTCATTCACCTTAAGTGAATGTAGCCTTGACCAGGAGGGGTTGATGTCATCAGGCAGTATCCATTGTTCATTGGGTGTTTCGACCCTCATCCACAACACCCTCCCGATGGTGGGTCGGCAGTGGTGGCCAAGTCACTGCCCATCTTCCCCTCCTGGTTTCCAGCTTAACTCCTCTCTCCTGCTCCATAACCAGCAAAAGGCTCTTTCTGCTGCTTCCCCCATCCTGCGAGCTGCTGTCTTTCTCTCCTTCCCCATCATTCCAATGGCTGTGAGCATTCTCCATACTGACTGAGCAGGGAATCCTCTACAGCCAACCTCGACCGGGAACAGCCATGCCTGCCATCCTTTCCCCCTGCAGTCATGCAGAAGGTCTTGGTATTTGGCGTTCTTTCTTTCAAAGGCCTGTTCACACCCCTCTTCCCATGGGACTGTAAGTTCTATGAGGATGATCTTTTTTGCCTCTTCAGACCACAGTACCACATCCGGCCTCAGGGTGGTCTGGACAATCTGGGGGAACTGCAGCCTTCTTCCCAAGTCGACCTTCATATCCCATGATTGGGCCTTTTGTAGTAGTCTGGTTCTTGTTGTTGCTGTGGTTGGTGGCTTTTCCCCCTCCCTTACAAACTGGATTGATGTTGTTTTCCGAAGTGGTTGGCGCTTCTTTTTTCTCTCCTGCTCTAAGGTCTTGGCGAGTGTCATGAGCACCTTGTCGTGGCGCCACCTGTACCTGCCTTGGGTTAGTGCTGTTTTACACCCGGACAGGATGTGTACCATGGTGCCCCTCTGCCCACACAGCCTGCACAATGGGTCCTCTCTCATGCCCCACTTGTGCAAGTTTGTTGGGGTTGGGAGTGTGTCATACACTGATCTCAGCAGGAAGGAGATGCGGAATGGCTCCAATCTCCATAGGTCCGCCCAAGTGATCTTTCTTTTTGGAAGGTCCCATCTGGTCCAGGCTCCTTGAGAAGCTAGTTCCACTGCCCTTGACCTTCGTCCTTCCTCTTCCAGGTTCCGTACCTCCTCTTGAATCATGGCTCTTCTGTCACTGGTTCCTGCTTTCCTCCACTGTTGGAAATGGGAGGTTCCAAGACCCTGTCTTCCTGTGCATGGCGCACCAATGACATCACGCAGCTTCAGCATGCTCTCAGCTTGTGCAACAGATGAGTCAGCTGCCCACTTGCGTCCTGATCTTGTGATGACGCCTGCGTGTCTGACTTGTTCATCCTGGGAGTCTCTGTATGTCATTACGACTCTGCACTTTGCAACTCTGAATTCCTCAACCACGGATGACAGTGGAAGTTGGAGCTGCCCTGATCTTATGTAGAGGCCTACTGCAGTGAAACTTGGAGGGATTCCCAACCACTTTCGGAGGTGCTTATTGATCTTCCTCTCCACTCCTTCAACGCATGTCATCGGGACTTCATACACAGTCAGCAGCCACATTAGTCTTGGCAACAGTCCGTGTTGATAGAGCCATGCTTTAAACTTCTAGTTCATTCCTGGCCGTTACCGTTGTGTCTGTCCTGTCGAGTCTGCTAACCTTATACACCCACGCCAGTCTTTCCTGGAGGTCATCTGTCTTTCCAGCGTCACCAAACTTCCTCGCTTGCCACCCAGACTTTCCTGGAAGTCACTGGTTGCCCAGAGTTTTCTTTTATGTAACCCTTCCATTGCTCATCTCTCCTTTTCTAGTGTATTGTAATGTAAGTGGTGTTGTAGTGGCCTGGACTCAGGGAAACAGCACGTGTCCTTCCTCCAACATGATCACAGTTCCAGTCCAGAGCCCGAGTGAGCAGTATTGGAAGTAAGAATCACACACTCGTGCAAACAAGCACAAATACACACACTTTCAGTCAAACTGCTGTGGCTATACATTCTCTCCTCCTCAGTCGCGTGGCTCTGCAGAGATCCAGTGGTCTAGATGAAACAGGACCATTAGTTTGGCACTTGGCCCTCTGCCTGCTGCTGAGCTCCATGCTTGTTGCTGCAGCACTCAGCAAAGGCATCAAGTCATCAGGGAAAGTAAGTCAACATCTACCTTATAGCAAGTCCTTGTCCACAATTTTGTTAAAGAATGGTAATATGCACTTTTACATCTCATCTAATTTCAATTGAAGACAATTGCATTGTTCTGTAATCAGCCCACACATTCGGTGTCTGAATTTATGGCCTTTGTCTCTCCAGGTTATGTATTTCACAGCTACATTTCCGTATGTGGTGATTTTGATCCTGCTGATCAGAGGTGTGACACTAGAGGGAGCTAGAGATGGGATTGAGTTCTACATTGGTTCCAAATCCAATTTGACTAAATTGACTGAAGGACAGGTAGGACACAATCTATCCTTGTTTATAACACAACAAGACTTGTGGGTCTTAAGGGTCTACAGCCACACTAGCTGGGCCAGCTCAGTGAGGTTGTCTAGCAGGTATAATGTTTACCATGTTCACCATCTTAGGTTAACATGTTAGCAAGCACAAATGATGCCTATTGCCTCTGGAGTAAAAAGTAAGAAAACAAACAAAAAAAAACATTCAGGCTGTCACTGAGGTCAACAGCCAGGATAGCCAATAAACTACCCTACTACCTTTTTTGTGTTGCTGCCCCACGTTTGTGGAATGCCCTCCCTGACACCTTGAGGGCACCATAATCCACTGACTGTTTTAAAAAAGGTCTTAAGACATTTCTTTTTATGAAAGCTTTTGGTCCCCTTTAGATATTTTCTTTTTGTTGTCTTTTTTTTGTCTGTGTTTTTAACCTGTAGCACTTTGAGATCCTTTGATGAGAAGCGCATTATAAATAAAATTTATTATTATTATTATTATTATTACCCCACACATATTTATATGAAATCTTTAAGAACTCTATGGTAGGCTACCCTAATCTTCGCCAAAATAGAATGAACTAGATGAACTACTATGAACTTACCAAACAGTGTCGACCGCAGATTACTTTTCTTTTGGGGTAAATATGGTAGGTTTGTGCATCCAAGGCTAGGTGGTAGAGATATTTCTCCATAGACAGAACGGAGTAGAGGATTGTAAGCCGTTCATACATGGATTCCCCAGTGCTCTCTCTTTTCTTCTCCTGTGAGTCATTGTGATTCTTTATATTCGTTGAAGGCCAATGTCACATACCTAAGTTAGTTTTCATCTGTTTCCTTGGTGAATGACTGAATGAGTTTGAACTCATTTCCTCTGCACCCAAAGTGTAGCTGAATGTCAAACCACACTTTGTCTACCAGCCCCTCCAGTATGTTGGGATCCAGCACCTTCTTTATGGATTTGAAGTCATCCTCTGATATTGACACATGATGAACTGTCAGGTGGGTCATTAATGTAACGGTTAAGCCCCACACAAAGAGAGATAGAGCTCACTTTTACTGTTTCTGACAGTGGCATAGAAATCACGCAAAATTTCATTGACCCACTCCTTTGACATTGTCTTAAGGTCTACAACTACACTTTATCCTTACACCAGTCTTCAAATAATTGAATGGCACATTTTGTTTGCTGAACAGTGTTCGGTTCATTTATTTTTTGTCCAGTTCGTTGACCTCCTTTTTATACATCTCTGCATGCCGTCTTTTATGTTCAGCAGGTGATTTTTCCCCCGATATGCACTACTCAATACACTTCTTGATTTGAGCTATCCTGTTTTATAAATAACCTTATATCAATATTATATTAGCAAGCCTGTTTGCAAATAGTCTGTAACATTTAACAGGACACTTCAGTTGTAGTTTAGTGTAGTGGTCACTAATCTAAATCATTGGGAAGGTATAGTACATAGCCTATTAAACTGCAAGTATTCATAGCAAAATAGTTGCTAGAGTTATTTGCTAGCAATCAGACAATAGACCTTTTTCACAGCAGCCATTTTGGCATGAAATAGTAGGGTAAAGTCAGGGTGCTGCTATTGTGCATGTTGGCCCCCTGGAAAGGCCCCACTACACTAAATTGGATGGAACCTTAATTGGTAATACCTGTGTGTAATGGCTGCTGTGAAGGTCTATTCTGATCTATGACTACAAAGAAACTTTTAACTTTTGTGCAAATGTAATACACTAGACTATATATATCATTCTTTTAAAACATGTTGGTGTCTTTTAGGTCTGGAAGGATGCAGCAACTCAGACTTTTTTTTCTCTATCCATTGCTTCCGGCGGACTTTTGACTCTTGCTTCCTATAGCAACTTCCACAGCAATGTGTTCCGGGACTCAGTTATTGTAACCACCATCAACCATGGTAGGAAAACACCATTTCACTATTTTTGTATCTTTACTACTAAGAAAGAGATCATCATCAGAGCTAAGTAAAGATACAACAATATCACGTTTTAAGTAGTTTATTTAGTAAATATTAAAGCCACTATGTATAGATGTTGAACATTTCTGACTCCCCAGTGGTAGTTTCCAGCAATCAAGTCATCACAAAAAATCTTTTTATTTTCTGTAGCAAGATATAAGCCATTAGGAAATGCTAGGTGAGCAGGTACATGTAAATCTCCAGTATGTGTGAAATACAGCATGTTATCTCTAAACTGATTAAGCCATGTGATTATTTTCCTCTCCTCTTAGGTACCAGTGTGTTAGCAGGCTTGGCCATCTTTTCAATTCTGGGTCATATGGCTCACATCTATAGAAAGCCTATTGCATCAGTGGTGAAGGAAGGTTAGACATGTATGATACCACTAACATTTTTTTAAATGTCAAAAAGCTGCTATGTTCTCTCATGTTTTGTTTCTCCATCTTTGTGCAGGATTTGGGCTGGCATTCATTGCATATCCAGAAGCTTTAGCTAAGCTTCCCATTTCCACTTTCTGGTCCATCCTGTTTTTTTTTATGCTTACCATAGTTGGCCTGGACTCTCAGTTTACACAAATAGGTGAGAATACCATTTACCGGTGGCTCTGCTTTCTTACCTCGCCAATTGGCATACATTTAGATCTCAACCTAACTTATTCTAAACAACTGATTCTCATGTCTCCTCTTGTCATTAGATGTTATCACCACCTGCCTGTATGATGCCTTCCCTGAAACCTTCAAATCCAAACGGGCTTTATTGACTATAATGACATGTTCCATCATCTACTTCCTGGGCCTGCCGTATGTCACAAGGGTACTGTAGATCTGCCCACAGTAATTTATTGCTACTGTCTGATATTATTTCCCTGCTTACCTGCAGTGTCTGTGTGTTTGTGTGTGTGTGTGTGTGTGTGTGTGTGTGTGTGTGTGTGTGTTCGTAATAGGCAGGAATATACTGGGTAACTTTAATAGACCAGTTTGCTGCCGGCTGGGTGCTGCTTATTTTGGCTCTCTTCGAGATCACTGGCTTCTTCTACATATATGGTAAATATAAATGACAGTAGTGATACCGTATGTACGAATGTACGTATACACCTGTGTGTAACTTTTAAGAGGATTTATTGACGGAAAACTGAGGAAGCACTATCTCATCATCATCCCTGCATTTTGTGACCACTACTTATGCACCTTAGGCCATTCAAACACTGTATTAAACCATGCACCTTAGACTACTCACCCAATGCTCGTTATTTTACTATTGATTTTATTGGGTCTTTTGCATGCCTCCTGTTGTTGTTTTTATTATTATTATTAGTACTTTGCATGCATCCTTAAATTTTAATCTTCTGTTTATCCCAGTCTGTGGATCCTGCTAGAAACTGTGAATTTCTCCTTGGGGATAAATAAAGTATCTATCCATTAATATATCAAAACACCCGAGGCAGAATTAGGAAAAGATAAAAACTCATAAATAAGAGAAAGAAATAAAAATTAATATAGACAAAGTAATAATACAATTTAAAATGTATAAATAGACAAGTAATAAAACAGATGAAAGTTGATAAATTAGCTGTGCAGATGTTCTCATGCACTACAGGAGGGAAACGCTTTATTAAAGACATTGAGATGATGATTGGAAAGAAGAGCTTTTGCTTCTGGCTGTGGTGGAGATCATGTTGCTTTTTCATCTGCCCCGGCATCACTGTAGTGAGTACAACCTCTCTTTTGTTGTTTTTCACTAATTGTACTGCTGACTTTGAAGGAAGTGTGTTATTAAAATTGATAATATAATATCCATTGCTACTGAGGAAAAACAGAATTATGATGTCATGTCCATTGATAACTTCTGTGTTTAGGTGACCCTGATCTGGTCTCTGATAACCTTTGTGCCCCCCACCTATGGAAAGGTCCAGTACCCGGTATGGGGCTTGGCTCTGGGCTGGTGCATGGTTGCATTCATCCTCCTCTGGATCCCTGTCGTTGCTGTGTATAAGCTGATGAGAGCAGAGGGAAGCGTCTGGAAGGTGTGATACAGGAAGCTTTTAAAGCAGGCTGAGATTTTCTTCTGTAAATTTCAGGCAGCAAAGTCCTTTTAAGTGTTCACCCATGTTCATGATCCTAATTGTGCCTTATGTTCTGCAGCGTCTGAAGTTGTTGTGTTCTCCCTCTGAACAATGGCATCCCTACCTGGATGTCCATCGAGGAGAACGCTACTCAAAGACGAGTATTGTCAAGAAACAATAAGCAAATGTAAATGCAGCTTCAAGTTCATGGCATCTATTTGAACACTAATGTATATTAATATGTTACATGCAACACTCATTTTACTGTAGTTCAGATAAGGTAGGTACATTAGTTTCCTTTAAACCAACCTCCTCAAAATCCTGTCGTTATCAGTGAATTTATATGGCCACTTACTATTAACCACTGCTGTGACAGAAGGTTTGTGTTAAGTGATTTTTCTTTCTTAGCTTTTCAGGATAGCTACCTCATTGTTAACATACCTGATGAATAATTTCAGCTTCATGACACCATATGTCTTTGGCTTGAAGATTGAAATGCTTTAACTCCACCACAGAAGACCTTAAATTATTTATCTTTTCAATGTACCTCAACAATGTACCTTCATGTCTTTGACTGTTTGAAGACTGTAAGTTCAAACTGATAGTTTTAAGAAAGTAGTTTGTTTTTAAACTCTTCTGCTGATAATCCAAATGCTGTCTTGTGTGCTGAAGAGCTCATCTTGTTATTCTTTCAAGAGCTCCATCTGGTGGTCATCTAGCACATAAACTATCCTAATCCTCGAGACAACTTCTATTATTTTCAATACAGAAAAAAGAACACAGAGTTGAAAAACTTAAATACGGGGGAAAAAAACTAATCTTGCATGAATACAATATCATAATTTAGCAGAAGTTCTGCAAAGAATGATTAAAATAACAAAATAAATAAGCAACTGAATTATATAATTTCACAAACAAATAAATTACTTTGAAACCATCATTGCTGACTTAATCCTTATTTTAACAGCTTACATAAATAGAGAGCTCAGTACATATCAACTGAAGTTATGATTATGAGTTTGACAAAGGGAGTAAAGCAAACTAAAATGCCTAATTTAATCAAGTATGAATATTTAGCTAGTGATAAATTCGCTGTTCAAAGCCACATTTATGTTTTTGTGTGTTAACAAATGTGAAAACTGATAAGCTTGGTAGAAGCTAGGAATATATCTATAGTACTTATGCAAGTGTTATACTGAAGTATTAGAGGGAGAACTTTGCTTCTACTTTTTTCCATATGTTTTCTTTTATCTTCCATTTTAATTTATCTTATTTAATTTGATGCAGACACAGGGTATTAAGGTATGGAAAAGACACTGAGACAGTATTTATGTGGACAAACTATCATCAGCAATCACAGAAAAGATTGTATCCAAAGTAGTGGTGTGTCCATGTGTTTTAATGTGTAACTATTTGACATTTGAATTGCTTTTATGCTTTGTCTACTTTCTTGTTGTACTGTTCTGTGCAAAACATAAGGAGAGTGAATGAATGAATAAACAGTTTTTGTTTGTTTTATGTTTGATGTTCAAACTTATTCTGCGATGAATACCTTCATTTTGATTTGTTTCTGGGGCTGAGTATGCTGGGTTGGTGTGATTGGAGGCAGGGGGTAAGGACAAGCAACGCAGGCTGAGGAGATAATTGAAAGAATTTTTAAAAAAGGATGGAAAGAGCCTCAATAGGTTTATTACCAGACGGTTTGTGGTTTATGCGTACCAGCTCCAGTTCCCAGTACGCTCTTGATGGTGCCTACAGTAGGCAAAGAAGCCACCCTGATGAGGTCCGGGTCCTCTGGCAGGACCTCAAACACAGCTGGCTGTATCCTTGCCTGGGATATTTTTCCCACACAGCCGAGCCCCGGGTGAGGTCAGCTCCTTTCAAAGAGCCCAGCAGGTAACAAATGCAGGATCACTCAGAGGCGTAAGTGTGGGGCTGCTGTTCAAAAACAAGGGATAGTTGGACCAGGAAGGCTTGGCAGGAACCGTGAGCGACAGGAATCGGTGTGGGGTCAAAAGGCTCATTGGGAAAAGAGGTTGAGATAGTGTCTGCTTTTTCAAGCAGTAAAAAGGGACAGCAACATTTACTTTCTTAGTAAGTTAAAGGTTTTTAATGTATATACGAAAATCCTGTCCCTGTTGTACAAGTTTTTTACTGAATCTGTTTTCACTTTTTCTGTGATTGCTTTTTTTTAACATTACCACTGGAGAATGCCAAATTCATTAAAGCCCAAAACAATGGCCGCCCCTTCAATACATGCCACCTCAATATAATGTACAGTTTTTGTTGAAACTGTACATTATAAAAAGTTCATAGATTAACCTGGAAGCCTGTCCAGCCTAAATGTTCTAGGTATGGTTCACTCCTTGCTTTAGTGAGGCGTTGATATGAGTGGAGGGAATTAAAAGATTTAGGAATCACCAGGTAAAAAGAAGTTGTCTAGTTTGAGGGGTCAAGACGGACGTAAAACTACGTATTCTGTATATTGTGTCATTGTCTGGCATGTCATATCATGTGTTGGTCTGTCATACAGTAGGTCTTTGCAAAGCAGGGAGAACTAATTTTTCTTCCAGTTACAACCCAGCTGGAGCAAAAACAGATCATGAAACAATTGGACCTAAAGGCGTCTACTTTAGGACACCTTTGTCAGTAATGACCGACCTTCTGATCACTGAAGTTCCCACATGTAGGAAGGGCTTATCTGTGCTCAAGTAGGAGAGTCAAAACTGCATTATGATCCAGGCAAACTGGTCACTTTTATTGATGATTGGTTATAAATGTATTGTTGATAGTATTTTCACCTGGCTGCTGTGTCTTTACTCATTTTAACACCAAAGACCACAAAGGAAAGCAGTCTTAGGGTTTATTTTATCCTTGTCATTTTTTTGTTGTGTGTCATTCACTATCAGGTCTCTGCTCTCATAATATCAAGTAAAATAAAACCAAAAGCAAACATTTTTAGGAGAAAATATCTAGTAAAACTAGGTAAACGTTGGTTTTGGAATGTTTGGGATTTGTAAGCCAGTATTTACTGACTTAAAATTTACAGAAGAGCTTGTCAGTATGTGTGTACAGCGAACTAGTGTTTGATAAAGTCTATAAGGGCTCATATTAGCTGTCAGAGCAAATGGCTTAGTCTGTCTGTATGTGCTTCATATGTGACTGCTTATTCAACTGTGACCATAATAAAAGCTGAGGTGTTGTAACAAGCCGTTGATGAATGGCTTTTGTGCAGGAGTTTCACATGTATGTCTATGTACGTGTCATTGGTTATGTCATTTGTGGTCACATGATTACTCTGTTATTAGATCTGCTTTCAGTGACTATGCAGCTGTCTGACGTCACTGCACAAACTGAGATCTGCTCAGCTGATCTCAGTCTTTTAACCAGACAGGCTTTAGAGCGTCTCATTAGTTACTGCAGTGGTAGTTAGAAAGAAGACACAATCAGAAATACAGTCCTACACCACCCTGTACTCTGCCAGGTGTAAGCACTTCTGAAACCAGACCTACATCCTTCTCCTTCCATGTTTTTTGAAAGTTTCATGGCCACCATAGTTTCTCCAACACGCTTGTGAGGCTGTGTTGTGTTCAGTTGGTTGCAATTTGCAACTTCTCTGCTAGATGCCACTGAATCCTACACACTGGTGCTTTAAAAATGTATAATTTAAACAATAGATGCATTAGTTGTTATAATAAAGGGGTTGGCTAATCTGTTAAAATAAATGATGAGGTAATAACACTTTGTTGGCTGACACATTTTAAACGTTGCCTTGACAAACACAGACTTGTTTAGTTAGACGGGTTCTCCTCAAGATGAAAGCAAACCTGTCTGAAAGCAATCGCTGGCAAGAATCCAGTTTGTTTAGTGTAGTCTCGCGATACAAGACAGTCTTGTGAGTCTATGTTTAGTGTGAGTTCAGACAATTTGTTGGAGCCATTTAAATTTTCTTCTGCAGGAGAACAAAATGTGGAACTATGGCTCAACCATTTCCAAGGATCCTGCTGTTCTTGCTGATCAGGTAGGATTGCAAACATCTGTAACTGAATAACTAGGCCTAACTGTAGCCTTATACGACACTATATGTGAACAGTATATTTATGAACTATGATCTCTGGCTCCCTCTCCTTTCCCTATTCTACATTCAGTTGATTCACATTATCTTCATTCTCATCAAACCATCCAATGACCCCTTGTGTCCTCTATGCAAGCATCTGCTCATTCATTCAGATGTTTTCTTTAATTTGTCACCTGTCTGTATTTTACCTTGTTAAAAATTGTTAAAATGTGAAAAAGAAAAAAAAAGAAAACCTGAATTCAACTTCTTGAACAGTTGCCTAATCCACGAACTCTCCCCATCCTTATTGAACATGATGACTGACATGGTGGTGGTGACAGGTATTGTAATGTAGCTGGTGTAGGTGGAGAGAGCTAGCAGCTGTAGTTAGTTATCAGGGTCCCCAGGATTAAGTCAAAGAGTCAACAGACAACAAACTGGAGATTTCCACACTGCAACTTTAATCTATTAACATCGACCATACAATGCAAGGTCTCTACGGCTCTGCATTCACTGAACATACAAGAGCAGCAGAACATAAACAGCATAACCTGCACCGGCTCTTTACTGAGAAGTCTGTGAGTGACATTTTACTGCATAACCTCAGTAGAGCTACTTCAAAAGATTCCCAGTGAGAAAGGATCCACTGACTGTGTTTTATACACCACTGTGTGCTTGTGTCTGTGAGGTAGTATTTTATGTTGTTTTATATTGTTACAGGTCTTATATGGCCTTTTTCATAGTAGACATTTTGACTTGATTATTAATGTTATTAGTAGCACCTTTGCTTTTTGCGGCAGTTACAATGTTAACAGTGTCTACCACTGTGTACCACTGAGGTCTGAGAATCAGCTGGTGTTCACTCCAACTAAACACTGCTTCAGCTGCTGTTGATGGTTGACAACTTAAAACTATACAGTATTAGTACAATTGTTTGCAGTGACTCTTATAATGTATTTAGTGTTTTTCAAGTTAATATTAGAATATATGTACCATAGAAAATATCTAACCATTTAGAAAACCTTTTTAAACTCTGCTTTGAGCAGGACTCTCATGTCGGTGACAGTGATGAGAAGTTGGAGCGTGAACAGTGGACAAACAAGGCAGAGTACATGCTCTCTATGATTGGTTATGCCGTTGGCCTGGGAAATATCTGGAGATTTCCATATCTAGCCTACAAGAATGGAGGGGGTAATTATTTGGCATCAGCATGTTAGAAAATCACATAAAGTAACACTGTTGTTTTTGTCTCATATCTTGAAATCTTGATTTTATCATTGGGAACAGGTGCCTTTCTCATTCCCTATTTCTTGATGTTGGTTTTCTGTGGAATTCCCATGTACTTCCTGGAAAACGCCATCGGTCAGTTTTGCAGCCAAGGCCCAATCAACATGTGGAGAGCAGTGCCACTACTGCAGGGTAAGTCTGAAAGAGACCCCATGCTTGATACAAAAGAGAGAAAATGGCAGTTTATGTGGCATCAGATACTAGAGTTTTTAGTAAAACATTAGATATTACTGTATAACTTATTATAAGTGTACTATAATCTATGATCTTCTCCAGGTGTTGGATTTTCCATGCTTATGCTGAACGCGGTGGTGTCAGTTTACTATAACGTCATTGTCGCCTACAGTCTGTACTACATGTTCGCCTCCTTCCAGTCGCCTCTACCGTGGTCCAGCTGCCTCAGTTGGGCAGACGGTAACTGCAGCAGCGTGCCTAAAGGTGCTTTTCCACTCATCACCTTCACTTGTGACTTCTGTTACTTCTGTCATTCTTGACCTTATTTCAGTTTTAATTGATTTGAAATAAAATAGCATAATTGTACAAATATATTTAAAAAGGGCACTTTATTGTCTTTTATCAGCATCCAGCACTACAGAATCACTTTTATTGGCCAGGTGTGTGTACATGTGGAAGGAATTTGACAATTTCTCTCAATGTACATACACAGAATAGGCATACGTACATACATACAGCAAAAGGACAACAACAATCTCGACAAAATTTGTAGACAGTAAGACAAAGGATGCTGGAATATATCTCTATTTTTGTGTAGGAGGTTGTTTTATGTACATATATAGGTTGATATTAAAGTATACACAGAATGCATAGATTCCTTTTGCTTAATGACATGTCATCCATCCAGCGCCATGTAATGTAAAGACCACTTCTTTGGAGTTAATATTTGCATACCCCCATCACATAGACTGATATTTTATGTAACCCTTTCATGGCTCATCTCTCCTTTTCTAGTGTATTGTAATGTAAGTGGTGTTGTAGTGGCCTGGACTCAGGGAAACAGCACGTGTCCTTCCTCCAACATGATCACAGTTCCAGTCCAGAGCCCGAGTGAGCAGTATTGGAAGTAAGAATCACACACTCGTGCAAACAAGCACAAATACACACACTTTCAGTCAAACTGCTGTGGCTATACATTCTCTCCTCCTCAGTCGCGTGGCTCTGCAGAGATCCAGTGGTCTAGATGAAACAGGACCAGTAGTTTGGCACTTGGCCCTCTGCCTGCTGCTGAGCTCCATGCTTGTTGCTGCAGCACTCAGCAAAGGCATCAAGTCATCAGGGAAAGTAAGTCAACATCTACCTTATAGCAAGTCCTTGTCCACAGTTTGTGAAAATCTAATTTTCTTCTCATTAATTTTGTTAAAGAATGGTAATATGCACATCTCATCTAATTTCAATCGAAGACATTTGTATTGTTCTGTGATCAGCCCACACATTCAGTGTCTGAATTTATGGCCTTTGTCTCTCCAGGTTGTGTATTTCACAGCTACATTTCCGTATGTAGTGATTCTGATCCTGCTGATCAGAGGTGTGACACTAGAGGGAGCTAGAGATGGGATTGAGTTCTTCATTGGTTCCAAATCCAATTTGACTAAATTGACTGAAGGACAGGTAGGAAGATTTTTTTTAAATTCATGGACCAAACTGGTGGATCAACTAGTAGAACCCTAACCTGGCTGGGGAAAACTATGGTGTAACATGGCTACAAACAAACTTTTAACTTATATTATTCTTTTAAAACATGTTGGTGTCTTTTAGGTCTGGAAGGATGCAGCAACTCAGACTTTTTTTTCTCTATCCATTGCTTCCGGTGGACTTTTGACTCTTGCTTCCTATAGCAACTTCCACAGCAATGTGTTCCTGGACTCAGTTATTGTAACCACCATCAACCATGGTAGGAAAACACCATTTCACTATTTTTGTTTCTTTACTACTAAGAAAGAGATCATCATCAGAGCTAAGTAAAGATACAACAATATCACGTTTTAAGTAGTTTATTTAGAAAATATTAAAGCAACTATGTATAGATTTCGAACATTTCTGACTCCCCAGTGGTAGTTTCCAGCAATCCAGGGGGGCCGCTGAGTCATCACAAAAAATCTTTTTATTTTCTGTAGCAAGATATAAGCCATTAGGAAATGCTAGGTGAGCAGGTACATGTAAATCTCCAGTATGTGTGAAATACAGCATGTTATCTCTAAACTGATTAAGCCATGTGATTATTTTCCTCTCCTCTTAGGTACCAGTGTGTTAGCAGGCTTGGCCATCTTTTCAATTCTGGGTCATATGGCTCACATCTATAGAAAGCCTATTGCATCAGTGGTGAAGGAAGGTTAGACATGTATGATACCACTAACATTTTTTTAAATGTCAAAAAGCTGCTATGTTCTCTCATGTTTTGTTTCTCCATCTTTGTGCAGGATTTGGGCTGGCATTCATTGCATATCCAGAAGCTTTAGCTAAGCTTCCCATTTCCACTTTCTGGTCCATCCTGTTTTTTTTTATGCTTACCATAGTTGGCCTGGACTCTCAGTTTACACAAATAGGTGAGAATACCATTTACCGGTGGCTCTGCTGTCTTACCTCGCCAATTGGCATACATTTAGATCTCAACCTAACTTATTCTAAACCACTGATTCTCATGTCTCCTCTTGTCATTAGAGGTTATCACCACCTGCCTGTATGATGCCTTCCCTGAAACCTTCAAATCTAAACGGGCTTTATTGACTATAATGACATGTTCCATCATCTACTTCCTGGGCCTGCCGTGTGTCACAAGGGTACTGTAGATCTGCCCACAGTAATTTATTGTTACTGTCTGATTTCCCTGCTTACCTGCAGTGTCTGTGTGTTTGTGTGTGTGTGTGTGTGTGTGTGTGTGTGTGTGTGTGTGTGTGTGTAATAGGCAGGAATATACTGGGTATCTTTAATGGACCAGTTTGCTGCCGGCTGGGTGCTGCTTATTTTGGCTCTCTTTGAGATCACTGGCTTCTTCTACATATATGGTAAATATAAATGTATGTATGTATGTATATGTATGTATAGGTCTATCCTGCTCGTTATTATTATTAATTAATTAATTCAACCTTTATTTACATCTCAGGAATACATTGAGGAGTGGACCTTAATTTTCAATGATGCCAAGGTTACATAAGGTGGCAAAAAACAAAAATACAATATAAAAAAAAGACAGAAAAATAATTAAAATGATATCAAATCCCTTAATAAAACAGTTACGTGCTAAATCATTTTATAAGCATATAAATCAAGATTTATTGGCATATTTCTAAAAATCTCCTAATGTTTTAATGGAATCAATATTTAAAGTACATTGTAGGTTATTCCATGAGTCTGGAGCACAAATTCTAAATGTCTAAAAAAGGTCTAATAATGACTTGATGTAGATTGATAACTTGTTTAGAAGCACCCTATGCAGCAGTGTGGCTCATTGATGTATGTTTAATAGTTTTTGGACAACATATCAGGCTTTGGCTGCAAACATGGGATTTGTTTACAATAAGTAAAATATGTAATATCACCAGACTTATCCTTTACGCATCGGAAAATAAATTACAGTAAGTTGTCATTTGTGATTTCTCTCTTCTCTGGGGAAACGGACATGCGATGGATCAATATATAAATAATTCTGATTGATTTCCCCTCAATCAATTTTACAGCAATTTTCTATGGCTAATAAAAATAGCGTAGCTGACACCTTGGTTAGCAGTGCCTGACTGAAGTGAGACAGCTTTCTATTGAGCCAAGTCGAGCGCATGTTTTCTTCATGCGTTACAGGAGGGAACCGTTTTATTAAAGACATTGAGATGATGATTGGAAAGAAGAGCTTTTGCTTCTGGCTGTGGTGGAGATCATGTTGGTTTTTCATCTGCCCCGGCATCACTGTAGTGAGTACAACCTCTCTTTTGTTGTTTTTCACTAATTGTACTGCTGACTTTGAAGGAAGTGTGTTATTAAAATTGATAATATAATATTCATTGCTACTGAGGAAAAACAGAATTATGATGTCATGTCCATTGATAACTTCTGTGTTTAGGTGACCCTGATCTGGTCTCTGATAACCTTTGTGCCCCCCACCTATGGAAAGGTCCAGTACCCGGTATGGGGCTTGGCTCTGGGCTGGTGCATGGTTGCATTCATCCTCCTCTGGATCCCTGTCGTCGCTGTGTATAAGCTGATGAGAGCAGAGGGAAGCGTCTGGAAGGTGTTTGTTGTCTTATATGATACAGGAAGCTTTTAAAGCAGGCTGAGATTTTCTTCTGTAAATTTCAGGCAGCAAAGTCCTTTTAAGTGTTCACCCATGTTTATGATCCTAATTGTGCTTTATGTTCTGCAGCGTCTGAAGTTGTTGTGTTCTCCCTCTGAACAATGGCATCCCTACCTGGACGTCCATCGAGGAGAACGCTACTCAAAGACGAGTATTGTCAAGAAAGAATAGAATAGCAAATGTAAATGCAACTTCAAGTTCATGGCATCAATTTGAACACTAATGTATATTGATATATATTGACTGTAGATTAATCAAATAAGGTGATCGTGACGCCCCTCCCACTGCCTTGGAGGCTGTCCTGGCCAACCTCAGCAGGCAATTGGCTGATATGGCAGGGTCATCAGCTGATTATGCTCACCTAAATACTTGGGCTATAAAAGCTGGCCCATTTTTTCCTACAGCTGGCATCCACTCTGCATCTTTGTCGTTTGTCTTGTTTTATGATTTGTGTTAATCTTAGTTTAATAAATTAACTTGTTTTAAAGAAATCTATTGTATGGACTCCACATTCCCAGAGCCAGTTTGTGACGTGATGATTGTGATTATGTCAATGATTCAGAAGTAACAATGTCAAACCAAATGCTAAACTGCCGCAGCTCATGGCTTTCATGTGCTCAAATTATGTATCTTTTCAGTGTACTTCAATGTTAGTTTTCAGACTCTGTCAACATTATCAGTACATCAGTACAAATCCTGCCTTGTGTGCTGAAGAGCTTCTCTTGTTATTCTTTCAAGAGCTCCATCTGGTGGTCATCTAGCACATAAAATATCCAAATCCTAGAAACTACAGCTTCTATTATTTTTTATCACAGATCATGTTCATGAAATTAGATGGATATCCATGTATCATATCCTTGTTTATTTCTGACCCATCTCTGGAAATGTAATGCTTCCCTGTTCCTAAATTTATACATTGCAGTTATGCATCATAAGGAAAGAACGCAAAGCCTAAATACCTAAATACAGAAACAAAAGTATCTAATCTTGCATCGCTTGTACATTAACTGGGAATCACATTGGCATGATGAAGATAGAGCAACTAAATTATGTAATTTCACAAACAAATAACTTATGTTACTTTGAAACTACCATTGCTGACTGAATCCTTATCCCATGATTTGTTTTTTCTCTTGCTTTTGGAAAAAGACAAAAAACTGAATGAAGCTGGTGGTGCTGCCACTGTCACTGTGTTTATGACCTACAATATATGATTTGATGAGTATACAACAGCATTATTTTATTATTTTATATTTTAAAAACAGTAATAATATATTACTGCATTACAAAACAATCAAACGTTTCTATTAAACTATTGGAAACAATGCTAATCTGGAAATATTGAAGTCCTTGTGTAAAGTAAATGGCTTTTAAATTCATACGTTGCTGAAATGCCTCAGGGCATTAGTTGTAATTATATGAGTTTGACAAAGGGAGTAAATCTAGAATCTAAATCCTTCTAAATACTGCTCAAAAACTCAAACTACTAATTTAATTAAGTATGAGTTTATGGCTAGAAACATACATGAGGCACACAAAACAATCAGAGATCTGAAGTAGTTTTTAATGCAGTGTTTATTTAGGTTACATCAGTGACAGGTGTTACAGAGCTGTTCTTGAATGGGCCTTAGTTGGATGGTCTTATGTTACATGAGAGTTGACCCAGCTCCTAACTTAAGAACAACCAGTATGAAGTTCAACCATGGATTGTTTAAGCCCAGTTGCAGCACTTGCAGCTGTCATCGAACACCAGGCCGACGGCACAGTGCTGAGTGTAGGTATTTCCCTTGTTGCACTCATAGAAGTGGTTCTTGTTGGTTGGGTCAGGGTAGAGTCCGTTAGACTTGCCAGCACAGAAGCCAGATCCTGTGCTGCTGCCACTGCTGCTGCTGCCACCGCTGCTGCTACCACCACCACCGGACTGGGGCTGAGCGTGGGTTGGTGTGACTGGAGGCAGGGGGTCAGGACGAGAACTGCAAGCTGAGGAGAGAAATTAAAGAATTAAAAAAAGATGGAAACAGCTTTAATAAGTTTATTTACTAGAGGATGTGTGTTTCATGCGTACAAGCTCCAGTTCCCAGTCCGCTCTTGATGGTGCTGATCAGGGGGTATTTTCCCTGGCCACAGAAAGTGCCACTAAAGTCATCAAGATCCAAACTCCACACCATGGCTCCACCGAAACCACTCTGCTTCAACCACTGAATCTGTAGAGTGGATGAAAGGTGAAACCAAGTGGTAAATAACCGTAAAACATAAAAAAAAAACCTTTTGACAAAAAATGATTAAATATGACTTCCTACCTTAATCTGGAAGCTCTTAACATTGTCATATCCAACCCAGGTTCCCTGGTTGTAGGCATATGGCACATCCTGAGGGCCGTCCCAAGCCTGAGTGGCTCCCTGCTTCAGGAAAGTGCAGATCTGTGGGGAGGCAATGATTTAAAATTAGGGATCTACACAATACATGCACATAGAGTATGTTTTTCTGTCTTATATGCATACACACATGGATTCAGAAAAAGAAGCACAGACCTCATAGTAGGCCCAAAAGCCAGCCTGACGAGTGAAAGGTCCAGCAGGTCCGGGTCCACTGGCAGGAGCTCCCACAGCTGTGTTAGAGGAAGCCAGACGGAAGGTGTGGCCGTAGGTGGGGAAACCAACCAGCAGCTTCTCAGCTGGGGCACCATTGCTCTTCCAGTAGTTCATAGCATAGTCCTACACATGATAGAGTACAGGCCGGTGACGGTGTGAGTGTCTGTTTTGTAATAATGTATGAATCTACAGCAAGAGCTCTCACTCACCACATTGAAGTAGATCATGGATCCCTGATCAGCAGGGCCCTTGTACAGAGGGCTGTTCTCTCCGACATTGTGCTCCCAAGAACCGTGGAAGTCATAGGTCATGACGTGGAAGTAGTCCAGCACACTGGCAAGGGATTAATGTTTATCATTGACTGTCTTCTGTACAACAAATGTAAAGGTGTATGTAATGTTTTCTCATCAGGAACTTACGCTCCAATCTGGGCAATCTGGTATCCAGAGTCAATAGTTCCCTTTCCAGCAGAGACAGCAGCAGTCAGCATCAGACGGGGACGGTTGGTCTTCTTGCCCTCCTCCACAAAGGCGCTCATCAGCTCCTACAGATGAGTGAGGAGAAAGAAACAGTTACAGTATCTGTATCATTGCATATTTTTATAGTAAAGTATAGTATAGTTACATTTTTGTAGATTACAACATTTATTTTATTGGCATTTGATGACTATATTTCCAAGATATAACTGGTTCTAAGGGATCTCTTGGACAAATATCTTAGCTAAAGCCCTTAAAGAGGAAAATACTATATACAGTGTAGCTGCAGGTTTGCAAGTGAGGCGTCACGACAGCAAGGGCGGCTACTCTACTTCCACCAACAACCTGGATTTGTCTATAGCCAGAATCTGAATATAACAGACCTGGACCAGGACGGTGTAGCGCTGCTTATCCTCAGCTGGGGAGCCACGAGAGCCAGGGTACTCCCAGTCAATATCCAGACCATCAAACTCGTACTGGCGCAGGAACTTGATCACACTGGTGATGAAGGTCTGACGGTTGGCAGCAGAGGAAACCATAGCTGTGAACCTGGAGACAGGAAGATAGTCAGTATGTTTCTACTTCAAGTCAAAAGTTCCTTTTGGTGAGAGCATTGATCATTCTTTCATTACTCACTTCTGAGTACCAAAGTTCCATCCTCCAATGGCCAGCAGAGTCTTCAGGTTGCTGTTCCTGCAAGCAGCAACAACAACATCATCCACTTTTTGCTTGCATGCTTATATGTATAAATGTGTGTTTTTATTTGTGCTGGAGTCACACTATCACTATGAGCATTTGAGTATACGCACTGGTTCTTCAGGGCCTGGAACTGTCCGTAGAGTTTCTCATCGTCCCACTCGTAGGTCTTGATCATGTTGTTGTCCATTCCAGCAAAGGCATAGATGAGGTGGTCACAGAGACATGGGTCAATGTTGGTGGGGAAATACTTACCTGCTCCAGGACGGTACTGTCCCCAGTTAGTAAAATAACAGGAGAGGATGTAGGATGATCCTGTAACATATGAAACAATTAGTCTTACTAACCAACTGAAATACGGCAATATATATCACACCAGCACTTAATGGATAACGGATATATTTACCTAGCTGCACATGCAGCAGGAGAGCCAGTCCTGCAGAGAAAAGAAAGAATGAAAGAGTCACCCTCTGGAGGAGGCAGAATCAATCTGCATTATGCACAAGATTAAATTAGGTTGAAAAGTGTAATAACAAAGTTTCAAAAGTTTTTATGAGCAAGGAGTTCAGCTTACCAACGCAGATAAGTAGCTTGCCCATGGTGCTTCTGTACAATGAACTGAGGACCAGCAGACTCTTTTATACTCCTGGGTTCCTCCCCATATCTGCAATATCTGAAAAATATGTTTGATGTGGTTTGATTACTCAGCAAAACTCAAAAGTCAGACTCATTCATTTGTTTGGTCAAGACTAGTGTCGCATTGGATTGACGGAAAGCACTGATAACCTTCAAGTGCCTTCTGATAATGATATGATCTGATTAAATCCGATTTCAAGGTTATTGTTGTTGGCCAAAAAGTGCAGTACACTCCAACAGCAATGAAGTTTACATTTTGCTTTTGCATTTCCACCACGTTTTCCGGTATTGTGAGTACATTGCTGGTTAATCAATGTTCTAATAATTATAAGTAACTTGTTTTTTTTTTTAAAGTCTTTGGAGGTGGATTTCACTAAAACCCAAATAGTTCTTAGACAGCAAAATTTGCGTTACACCATTTTCTGTTTACATAAGTTGTTTGATACGTATATTTACTCAGTGGTTCTCTGTTCTCTGCTACATGCTTTATCACCTTTAGACGTGGTTTAATATCAGTTATTACTGTTAGTCTGGCCCTGAAAGGAACTGTGTTGTCTGTCATATTGCAATGGAAAGAGGCTTTTTGTCCTGCCCTTGAAACTATGTGGATTGTGAAATTAGTCTTTCACTAGCTGTGCCATCTAAATCTCCAGTCAGTCAGTGACTGATAATGTTTTACACTCAAAGATGCCATTTATGCTTAATCTGTAAGAATTTCAGTTGGTTCATTAAAGGGGATACCTTTCAAGGAGGTTTATCTGTCATTTGTAGCACATTTTAATTTAGACAGAAACCTTTCAAAAGGTTTATTTATAAGATGAAAACAGAAAACATTAATAACAAACCTAATCTATGTAGTATTTTAATAATGATAGGCATGGAATGGAACCAGACACAAATCATCTGCATGAAGTAAAACTTGACATGTGCTTCCTATTTTTGAATGTCCATATTGAAATGAATAATGTTAGACTGGTTGGAGATTCAAAAGCCAAGGTAAACAGAGTCGGGTGCTTGTGGGGAAAACTGGTTGTCATATTTGTAATAAACTGATGGACAGAAAGACTCTGGATTAATGACTTCAAT